CCAGGCCAGTCTTATAGCAGCTGTGTGGGCTGTACACCATTGCTATGGGCTAGGCAGGGGCTGTGCTCAGTGTCCCAGGCTGCAGCATGCATGGAGCCTGCTAGCATGGAGAAAAGGTAAGTGGAGGAAGGAAAGGAGCATGCTGGGGAGCAGAGGTTGTAGGGGGGAGATAGTGGGTGCAGAGGCAGTGAATGGAAAGGAGAAGGCAGGCAACTGCTGTGGTTATGGCCCTGACCTCAGGTAGGACTGTAACCTAAGCCAAAGCAGCTGGCTGTTCCTCCCTTCCCCACCCCCCATGCAATTTAAGATAAGAGACTCCACACACACACACACACACATTAAAATGGGCAAAAACACTCATCTTAGAATCAAGGAAATAAGGTAACACTGGCAGCAGGGACCAGAACACTATCCATAACTTGGCTGCAATGGCTGTCCACCAAAGTGATTGTTAAATCAAAAGAATTTGTGGCAGGCAGGAAAATTAAGTTCATTGGGCTAATTTCTTTTCACATACTTTTATGGCACACTGTAGAGTTTGGTGGACTTCCTCCTGATTTATATCAACATAAGTAAGAGAGAATCATGGTCCTGATTCTGATGTATTTTGGGGTTCTATTAATTCACAATTTAAAATATTCTATAAAAAAGGAAGAGGTGAAAAAATAGAAAAGCCACAGGGATTTAACCCACAGACCTGCTGCATAGCATCCAATTCTATAGCTCAACACAGGAACACAGAATGACGGGGAAGTAGGGCTGGAAGGGATCTCATAAGGTTATCTAGTCAAGCCTCCAGCTCAAGGCAGGATGATCCCCACCTAACCATCCCAGCCAAGTCTAACCTGCTTTTGAAAATTTCCAAGGATGGAGCTTATACAACTTATCTAGATAACCTGTTCCAATACCAGACCATCTGCATATTCAGGAAGTTCTTCCTAATCTCCAGTCTAGATTTCCCATGCTGCAGCTTGAGGCTGCTGTTCCTAGTTCTGTTCCCAAAAGTCACAAACAAAGCCCATCTCCATCCTCTTTATAATCACCCTTCAGGTATTTGAAGACTTATGAACTCTCTCTGCCCCCCTCCCCTCCAGTCTACTCTTCTTCAAGCTAAACGACCCTAATTCTTTCAGCCTTTCCTCATAAGTCTCATCTCCCAGGTCTCTGATCATTTTTGTTGTCCTGCTTTGGACTGTTCCCAAAATGTACATGTCCTTCTTGAAGTGTGAGGCCCAAAACAGATGGTGTTACCGGTGCTGAACACAGCAGAAGAATTGCTTCACTTGATTTGCAAGTGACATTCCTGTTAATACAACCTAGGATTCTGTTGGCTTTTTTTTGCAAGAAGAGCACACATACCTGAATGGAAAGTGACATCTGAATATGAGGAATATTTCCACATTTCCCAATCAAACTCTTTGCTAAGGATGTCATCAGGAATGGAGTCACGGAGGTATTCTTTCAGGGGGTCGTCTGTCTCCAGGAGTTGAGAGAGATGACTCCAAACAAAAGAACCCACTGAAACAAAGAGAAATTTCTGTAAATCACAGAGAAGTAAGAATCATCTGGGCCAGATTTTTCACTTTACACCTGTGTAAATCAAAATCACTCTCCTGCCTGAGTGGAATTAATTCCAACTTTATACACTTTTATGTAACTGAGATCAAAATCTAGCTCACTAGTTAATCTCATCAGTGGCAAAGTTATTTAAAACTCAGTCCTAGAGCATCCTAGCATATCACAGAAAGGACAGATTTTATCTGCAGTTACCCTGTTGACAGTTATAAATCTACCAATTGGTCTAATTAAGTAAATAGCTTTTAAAGTTAATCAACCTCATTATTTGCAGTATGCAAGGGATTTTCTGAACTAAGTGCATCTGGCATGCTGACCAGTTATAGGAGTCTGGCCCTAATGATATATTGTGGATTTCCATTAGTACAACAGAGCAGATTCTCTGTTAATTCACAGTGAAGATTGTCCATTATGTAATACCACTTATACAAATTTACATTTAAAGAACAAAGTCAAGTATTCAGAAGGTCAGAATGCAGCCTTAATTTAGCTTCTTCATGTTGTGTGAATGTTTTTCTTCACAGCTTTCCCCATCACAGGATAGGAAGCTAATAGCAAGGTCCAGAATAGAGCCTAGCTGCCCTACATTCCAGTCCAGTTCCCCTCACTTTCTTTTAATCTAAGTCATTTTAATTTAACTTTCAACATTTCCTTTAAAAAAAAAAAGAAAGAAATTATTTCATGTAGAAACATACTGATGGTCATCAGAAAAACCAGTCATTAGGTCATCTTGCATTCTATGCCTAACTTTGACATGTAGTCTAGTGGTTACAAACACCATAGACAAGATCAGAGATTCAGTACAGTTATTCTGAAAGGCAAATCCAGCTACCAATGCTGCACTGTTTCCCATACCCTGTGTAGAGAGTATTCTCATTTCCCAGCTGTGCAGACATACTTGAGAGCTTTGCCAGCCTGGTGGTTGAGGGGTGCTGAGGGCAGATGGACTGTGCAGGGAATTTACCTGCTAGCCTCTAACAAGCTTGACTAAGCATACGCAAGTGGAGATTTTTCACACTTTCACAACTCATCCAAAACTGGAGGTATTCATAGGGACAGGAAAAAGTATCTCTGATCTTTAGACTGGGGAAAAACTTCAAGCCTCTTCTTAAAATAAGGGAGGCACTAAGAATCTTCAAAAATGGCTTGAAAAAAACCCCCTTAACCCTCACAATACTATTAACCTCTTCTCTGTCTCAGTTTCGATGGGGGTGTCAGTCTGCCAGCCTGGGGCTGCTCTGACCCAGCTCAATGTGCTGTGGAGCAGCTGGCTGGGGCACATGGGTGCTTCAGTGCAGGGCTAACTGACAGGCAGTCTCTACACTGAAGCTCCCTTATGCTCCAGACAGCCCCATCAATGTCTACACATGCATCGCTGTGCAGTTAATAACACCACCACAGGATAATACTTGTATTTACAAGTACTAACCTACAGTGGTGTTTATTAATTTACTGCAGGGACAGGCAATTACTTTGGGCAGAGGGCCAGTTACTGAGTTTTGGCAAGCCATCAAGGGCTGCATGACAGGCAGCCCAGGGCAGATAAATATTAATTTTCTCAATTTTTTTAGGGGCCCTGCAGGCCGGATAGAATGGCCTGGCAGGCTGCATCCAGCCCCCAGGTCGCATTTTGCCCACCCCTGGTTTACTGCAACCTAATAGGGCTGTACGCGTAGATCCAGAGACTCTACTGAGGAGATAATTCAGCTCTGCAGTAAATGTCTCATGGAGACATGCTCACTACCACCTTTACCAATAATGCCACCTAAGCAAACACATGGAATGAGAACTTCCCTCTAGGTTTACAATTCCACCTGCAATTTTATGTCCATCCTACAAGGAAACTGGCAAGAAAAGCCTCTGTCACATGGTAAATAAAGTACTTCACTACTGAGCCTGTAACTGTTTTTGAAACTCCCAGCCTCTGTGCATCAACTGTAAATAAGACAACCTGAGTTGTAGTATCTAAAACAACTGTATCCTTCATAAAAGGGTTTGGTTTTCTAGTACCTTGTTCAGAATCAAATACATGAAAAAACTCCAACATAAGCTTTAGAAGTATAGTTGGTAGCCATGTTGATCTGGGATAAGAAGACTGTGGTAGCGGGGGCCACCCTCAGGGACCAGAAGCAGCAGGGACAGACCCCGACACTCCCGGTGGAAGACTCAGGGATCCTGGCCCTGCTCAAAACCTACCAGAGAGGCAGGACAGGAACAGGAAGAAGCTGCGTGAGCAGGCGTTGCACCACCTTTTCAAGCGGCTGTCAGTCAAGCTGGGCAGCGGCTGGCAGATGACAGCAGCTGCGACCACCACTGCAGGAGCTTTAAAAACCCTGGCAGAGCTTTAAAAACCCTGGCAGGTTTAAAAACCCTGGCAGAAGCAAGAGTGGGGGGGGAGACGCAAGAGGCGAGACTTGACTTTTAAAAGACACTCTCATGGACCCAGAGGGAGACAGCCTTCCATTTTCAGCTTCCTCTGTGCAAAAATGAAATTTATTTCCTACTTATAAGGACTTTTTACCATCTGGTACCATCTACACTTTTCCCAGAGCCTGATGAAGGGACTTTGATCCTGAAAGCTTGCAGAAAAGGACAATTTTCTTGCAATTTCCCAGTTGGTCTAATAAAAGGTATCATTTTGAAGCCAAGAGTTCTAGGTTTTTGTATGTCTAACATAAGCTTTGGGTATGTTATCTACTGTATCTGTGACTGTTTACATTCTGCAAGTACAGCAGTTCAGGAGAAAAGTCACACACTACATAGGCTTTTAAGACTACTGCCCTTGATCATTGCTGCAGACAAACAATAGCTTTGGACTCCTGCTTGTAAAGTAGAAATAAACCCTGATTTTATTTCCTCCACATCACATTAACGAGAAGAGGATTGCAAAATATATTCATTCTCAGCAGACTTGAAATCACTGGGCTTTATAACCATTAACTGCTGACTGCTGAAACCATTCTGAGCAAACCCCCTTCACAGCCGGCCCTGAATTTAAGTACTCATGTGTGGCAAAAGAAGCTGCACAGATTTTTCGCTTTTATGCAACCCTAATTCTTATTCCTTTCATACTAACTGAACTTGCTTCTTCTCTGGACAATTCACCACACAATCAGTGTTTGAAGCCTAGTGTGGTGCCTAGTGTTTCTGCTCAGGTTTAGCATTTAGTTCAACATCTCATGTCAGCAATCTGGCTCAGGTCAGAAAGTAATCAGTCAGGCTAGGGACAGAAGTTACACATCAGCCAGTTTAAGTGATCAGAAACTGGTTTAAAACTGTAACGAAACAGATGTTCAGTGCACATAAACCAGTTTGAAAATGGCTGAAACTGGTTTAAGATAAACCTTGAATGCAGTATCAGACTTAACTGATCTGTGTCAAACCAGTTTATGAAACTTCTCTCCCAGACCCCTTCCTGCTTCAAGTTAAATCACAGTCTCCCAGCATCCCAGCATGCTCTGCAGCCCTGGGCTGGGCTATACTGCCTACTCCACAGAGTAGGGCTGACCCCGCCCCTCCATTTCCTACCTGGAGCAGTGAGGGCTGGCTGACAAAAGGGTGGGGGGCAAGCCTGATTGGAGATGCAGGCCAGTCGAAAGAAGGAGGACTGCCCCTCCCTCAGCAAACCCCAGGTGGGGTCTGGGACCAGGAAGAGGGGTTGAACACCCCTTCCCTTGCTCAAACTTACTGCTGGCTACAACTGTGGATTACAAATCCCATAGGCACCTAGAAGGGAGGGGAGGTGATGAGCAACCCTGCAAAGTCCTGCTGCTATAATTCTGGACTGAAAATCCCAGAAACCTAGTGTTTCATGCAGCCCTAGTGTCACTGTTTTGATGAAATGAAATGGCACAGCAGTTTTAAATCTAGAAAAACTTTGAAACGAAATGCTGTTCCGTCAAAACCTCAAAGCGCAAGTCGAAATGGAACGACGCTGTTTCACACAGCCCTATTTTTGACTGTCTGTACCTAGCCCCAAAGAGTTATTCAAGTAAGCAGGATGAAATAAAGCAAACAAGTCATAATACTTGTCTGAGCTCTACTATTTTTCCAGATATATTTATACATGTTTTAAATAGCTGCTACACTGTTACCTAGGAACTATATATTTGGGCATATTATAAGTACATAAGAAAGATAGACATTTTTTGGATCCTTTCTAAACCACCTTATTCTCTTAACTGTATTTTTCCCTTAGAGAATTATTAATGATTTGTTGTTCCTGTTGTTTATCACTACCTCTGTAGTTTCCACACTGTTCTCCAGTGGTCTGAGGAGCTGCTCCTGTCACAATGATACCTTGGCAAGTCTTGCTGATGGTTCCAGAAAAGTAAAAAACTCTTAAGGTTTCCACAAGCTTTTTGATCAAGTAATGAAAAAAAAGAATCAATGCATCTCTCTCTGGATTCTCCAGACATACTTTGTCTCTGCTGTTTAGTTTTGGCCTCCTTTGCATTTATTTCCCACTGTTTATGTTGTATTCTATTGCATCTGTAATGTTTGGGGGTAGTTCAGCTTACAGCAAAGGCAAAGTGACAAGGAGAGAAGTGCAGTGGAAGCTGTAGTCAGTAAAAGGTGAATCAGTAACAACAAAAGTGCACTCTGCACTAAGTAGACAGATATAAGTCAGGGAAACAAGGAACATTTTAAAGAAATACTTGGAAAAACATTTTTCCAATCCTCATTTCTTACCATGTTATTTTTAGAAATGTAGAAACTGTTCATTTTTCTGGTACTTTTCTCTTTCTCCATTCCAGAAACTATGCAATTAGCCATTTGGTATTCAGAATGTAATAATACCTAGCAGGGCTCCATGTTTATCCCTAATTTTCCTTGATATTATAAATGGGTGTCTATTAAAAAAAGTGAAAAAACTGGGGGAACCCTCTCTTGCTTTTATTTCATTTTTCATTGAACTCTCTTTTTTTTTTTTTAAAGGAAAAAAGCCAGTTACAATTGCTTTAAAGTATGTAAGGTGGACCTGAGATGGGCTGCTGCTGCTTGCAGCTTAAGATTCCTACTAAAGTCAAAATCTTTAAAAGAGCCAGAAATTAAAATATTAAAAGTACTTGTCTGCTGACCTTGGCTAGATGTCTCTCGCTGAAAAGTCTGTTGTACTTGGCGAAAGAGCTCTTTACTCGGACACTTCATTGCTATATAATACGAAGCAATTCTTATTTCCACATCATCATCAGCGGCTTGATACAGCTGGACTAATACGGTGCGCTAAAAGGGGAAAAATTATCAGAAACAGGCTAAAGGACCCAAGTACCCAAACATAGCTCACATGGACCGATTTTAAGGTAAAAGTTTTACCAGTACAGGACCAAATCCAAAGTTCCACATAAAGAATCTGATCCTGCTAACAGTTGTGTGTAAGTAGCTTTTCTTCATGTGAGCAGATGCTCTTCCCTTCAAAAGCCCTTTGGTGCCATGACTCCCATCCAGCCCCTTCCCCTCGGAACTCCTTCCAAATTTTTCCTCCTACCCCTCAAAGCCCCTGACCAAGGGACAGGCAGGGGCAGGGCTCTAACTACCCCCTGCCCCACACCATGCCCATAGCTGGTCTCTGCTGCCCTCCATTCTCAACATATAGAAACAAACTGCTGAGTCAGGAAAGGACTTGCTTCAGCTTTTTGTAGTGCCCCTATCCGGAGAGACCAATTGCTCTGGTTCCACCCCTTCCCAGCTTTATGCTGCCCTGATTACGCTGCTGGCTCAGCATCCCAGACTACATCACCTGCTGCAAGAAACAACCCAGGAAAGGAGTTACTGATTCCCTCTGCCTCATCTTTGCAACTCCCTCCTGCCTCCGAGCTTTGCGTCACAGCCAGCATGCAGCTGTACTTGCCTTCAACCCTGTCCCTCCCTTCCCCATCTTGACTGATTTGTTGTGGGTTTGAATCCAAAGGGAGTAAAGCAACCCAGTATGGGGTCCTAGGTTGTGGTACACCTTTATTGGACATGCTGGAGGTGAGCAGAGAAATGTTACCAGGATAACTGTATAAGAAAGGATACCTTGATTAGCAGAAGATCAAATGTTAACACCTATGAAGGAAAGAGTTTAATAGAAATCAGCTAAATAATAATGAGCCATGAAGTCAATTGACTCCCTCAGCTCATGTGAACAGCAATGCAGCTGCCCCTGCTAGACAGTTTCTTTTAAAATTTGAGTGGAGCAGGAATCAAAGTGGGATGTAACTGCACAACTAAACCCCTCCTCAATCCACCTGTGCTCCCACCGAGACAGTTGGTTCAATAAAAAGATATTGCCAGAAAAACACTTGTCTATACCATGAAACTGCATTCAACATTTCACTCAATTTCAATGGCAGCTCTGACCTGGTAACAATGACAGGATCATGTCTGTCACTTACATGCCAGCTTGCATGGTAAATACATCCACTCATAAAATTAGCAGGAAATGCATTATCTTTCTGGGTATAACTCAGCATTCAAGTCTTCTCAAATGTTACAGAAAATGTCATCTTTCTCTGTAGAAAACATGCTTTAGGCAAGCTTTGCTTCAGTAAAACATGCTGGATATAGTTTTTTAGACTTCTATACCAAGTGCTGTGCTGACAACTATATTTCGCTCTTTCCTCCAGCCAGCTAAGAAAAGGAATGTCCTAGATGTAACCCTTATTTTGCCTACTGCATCAAACTTCCAGTACTGACACTTACCATATCACAAGTGGAGACGGAGGCGTGGAATGTTAAAAAACACAGAAACAGAAACAAAAAACTGCCCTAAGGTCTTCAGCAAAAACATGCAAGCCACACAACTCAAGTTACTGCTTTAGAAAGCCAGCAACAGGTACCAAAACAAGCCAACTGGGATGCCACAGTTGTCCAAACACAAGCCAAGACATAGTACCTCATAATCTAAAATGCAGTATTTATAGTTCGTTCACCTGTACCTTTTTGCCTATGAAAAAAATGACATTTGTCAAAAAAAATCCTCCAAATAGCTCTTTCGCTTCTCTAAGAAGCACATGGTATTTTCCAGAAAGAGTTCTGCTGGGAGATACTTTTAAACTCAGTTTCCAGCCATTTGTTCAGCCCATAATTTATAGCATGCAGTCTACAATCCAATATAACAATAATAAACCATCAGCCACTGACAATGTCAGTCACTTACGTTGGCAGTGCAGGGAATGCGTCTGAAGGCCTGTATGGCTGCTAGTCGGATTTCGGTAGGGTGGCTTTTCTGGAATGCACATGAACTGAGGACCGGAGTAAGAGATGTGGCTGCCAGACCTGCATTTCCAATTGCTTTTAACACTAATTGCGTCTGAAAATACAAAAGCAAGGCAGGATGAGAAACTGGAGCTGGAACTGTTGCAAACGTATCCAGTCATCTGTACACAATGTTTTATTATGGCCACATTATCATGCCTTGCTTCAAAATTCTCTGCCTAAAACAGACTTCTGCTCATTGTTGCAATTTATTGCAGCATGAGACATTCCCAATGAACAGAAAATATGATCTGATCATAAGACTGAACCACAGACCAAATTCACCTGTAGACAGGATGTGAAGAGTATTATCTTAGATACTTTAGAATGGCTGAATTTTCCTTGCAAAATTTCAGAACAGAAATTACTGGTAGCAACCTTGATCCAGGCTAGCAGTTTGGATCAAAAACGGTGATTGAAGACCATCTGCCTATCAGCCAGAGAATTAGACCTGGTCACAAATTAAAGTTTTGTCGGCATAGTTATATCTAGTAGCATGGTGAAAAAAACAAAAAACTATGCCAGCAAAAATGCTATTGTAGAAGCAGTTATACTAGCAACATAGCCCTTTTTCCCAGAGTTACTTATTTTGTGTGGAAAATTGGTGCCAATAAAACCACTTTTTTGCCAGTGTAAACCGTGTCTTCAGTATACCAGCTACACTAGGATGCATATACCAGCAAATCCTTTTTAGTTGAAACAAGGCTGTACATGCATAGAAAATTTGTTTCCCTGTTTCACAAAATGGCACTTAAGTGAAATTGGGCTTGGAACTGTAAAACTACAAAGGCATAAAAATATAGTTCATATGCATTTCAACATGACAGGAGATCGGGTATAGCATAAACTATTTCAAGTACTTTAAAACCATATCTTATTTTGATTGGGGTAAAAAATGTAGTGGGAAATTCTGGATTTCTGGATACAAATATTTCATAGATTTTCATAGACATTAGGCCTGGAAGGGACCTCAGAAGATCATCGAGTCCAGCTCCCCGCCTAAAGGGCAGGAAGTCAGCTGGGGTCATAGGATCCCAGCAAGATAAGCATCCAATTTACTCTTGAAGGTGTTCAATGCAACTGCTTGAACCACCTCCAATGGCAGGCTGTTCCACACCTTGGGGGCTTGGACGGTAAAGAAATTCTTCCTTATGTCCAGCCTGAAATGGTCTTACAGTAGTTCATAACCGTTCAACCTCATCATCCCTTGGGGCGCTCTGGGGAACAAACGTTCCCCCAGGTACTGGTGGTCACCCCTGATAAACTTATAGGTGACCATCAGATCACCCCGGAGCCTGTGCTTTTCCAGGCTAAAGAGCCCCATAGCTCTCAGTCTGTCATCATAAGGTGTGTTTTCCTGACCTCTGATCATGTGCATGGCTCTCCTCTGCATCCTCTCAAGCTTTTCCACATCCTTTTTGAATTGTGGGGCCCAAAACTGGATGCAGTACTCCAGCTGCGGCCTCACCAAGGCCAAGTACAGTGAGAGGATGACATCCTGGGATTTGCTTGAGAAGCATCTATGGATACAAGCCAGCGTTTTGCTCGCTTTACTAGCCACAGCATTGCATTGAAGGCTTATGTTCACTTTGTAGTCAATGATGACCCCCAAGTCTCTTTCTTGGATGATTAAAACGTCATTTGCCAACAGATGCCATACAATTACCACAGCTGTTTCCTACATCAAATATTAGGGAAACCAGCAACTTTGCAGAAACCAGACAGCATAGACAATGGTTGGAACCAGATAACTGTTGGAAAATGACCACCTTTTAATAGCACTACTGTGCCTAAACTCCATATATCAACAGATTCAAGTTCTGGTAGGTCAACTGATCTTTTTGTGGTTCTTAGATAAGCTGCATCATACAAAGCCTGATTTTTCTCCTGTACCAGCGTCAGTCAGGAGTAACTGAAGCCAACCAAGATTAAATGCAATAGAAGCCAGCATAAATGAATAAGCCTGAGGCCCCATTTGCTGTCAGACGTCTCTGATAAGATCTCAGCCAGGAGATTCTTTCCACTGTATTTGGACGTTAATTGTTCCATGGCAATTTTAGTAGAATTCTCCTAGAGCCACAATCCTCTTCCTCCTACCCCTTGCAGCATGGAGCTGACCACCTTCTGGTTGCTGCCAGGATTGTGAACGTAAACACATGGGTTAGGGACAGACATTCAAAATGCCTGAGGCTGAATTGATTCAATCTTTCCAGGTTAGGTTAACCTGGCTAAGCTAAAACAGCTTTGTAACTGCACAGACATCCCAGAAATGCAGGCACGTGCCTGTGGTGGCTCAGGCTAGAACCTGGGGGGGGGTGCACTAGAGTAGCCCTCCCTTCCTTCCACAGTACTGAGCTGAGGGGGCTATGGCCAGGCTCTAGCAGGATACTCTGATTAGCACAGCAAAGATTTGATGGGGTTTATCACCCCATTAAGAAAATAACAGAGGGACATCACCAGCTACCTGTTGATTCTGCATAGATGGTAGCCAGCATGTGGTCTGCTAACTAATACACAGACACCTCCTCAGCAAGGCAGAGGGGAGGGAGGAATTCCTGCTTAGTAGGGAGTGGTGAGGGGGAGAGGGGAAGCAGCCTGCAGTCTCTGGAGCTGCAGCCAGGAAGCAGAGAGCCCCGTCCAACCCAGAGAGTATGCCAGGATACTGGGGGAGTCTGATTTATCTTAAACCAGCAAGGGGTCTGGGACAGATATTACATAAACTGGTTTGAGCCAAATCAGTTAAGTCTGATACTACATTCAACCAGGTTTATCTCAAACCAGTTTCAGCCATTTTCAAACTGGTTTATGTGCACTGAACATCTGTTCTGTTCCAGGTTTAAACCAGTTTCTGATCACTTAAACCAGTTTGTGTGAAATGTCTGTCCCCAGCCATGGTTACCAGCAGCAGCCACACTTTTTTCAGCCCCCTGAAATCACTGCCCAGGGCAGCTGCCCCTATTATTTCCTCCCAGTTATGCCACTGCAGCCCCTGAAAGGCCATGAAAGTGAGCATTTGAACATTTTTATCTCCCTCAGAATTCAATAAAGATGAGGGATGCTCAGCTCTCTAAAAAATTAGGCCATTTGTATTTAGGTGCCTAGCTTAGTATGTAGACTCTTAATGATATGTAGGGGTGCAGTGCCTGTAGATGTGCGGAGAGACTGTACAGCGCATCATGCTAATTAGGATGGCTCTATCAGCCTCTACTTTGTGCATCAGTGTCTATGTGCTTCAAAATGGCAGTGGGGGCACATTAACTAAAGCTTGTTCAACAAGGTTTAGTTAAAGCACCCCCACCACCTTTCTGAAGCATGGGGACCCTGATACATGAGACGCTGTGAGTGCTTTAATTAGAGTGGCTCTTGGAGACACTCTAATTAAAGGACTCCCCTCCCCCCTCCCCCCCATTCCCAGAGCATGTGTAAAAATGTTAGCTGTCCAACATCCATTGATTTCAATGGAAATAATTTTGGAGATCTGTGCCAAGGGGCCTACACTGAACAGTGAGTGTGCGAAACCTTTGGCTACATTCTGCAGAGTTTTGGGATTTCACAGGACTGTAAATATCAAATTATTATGTATTTTCATGTAAAGCTCATGCATGGAATACCAAGGGGAAAACTCCTTTGTTATGTGAATGGCTTTTTAAAAGAAAACTAGGCTTGCTGAGAAATACATGTTGAACAAATTAAGAGAAATCTGGCTTACTATCAGGAAACAGTTCCTAATGGGGAGAGCTATTAGACTATGGAATAGTGCCTCAAGGGAAGTGGTAGAAGAGCTATTGCCTGAATCATTTAAAAACCAGGCTAGATGCAGCATCAGAAAATATACAATTGGGAACAATTTTGCCCAGGCCAGGAGACAGGGCTAGATAACCTCATACAGCAGACCTTTTCCACCTGTATTACCATTTTCCTTCTATAATCATATGACCCACAGGGAAGTCAAAGAAGTTCAGGAATGGAATTATTATCTCAAAAGTTCACTTGAAATTCCCATTACATAAAACTGTTTTATGAATTATTCCTTCATTAAGTAATGTATGCAGAAGTGAGAGTCAACAGACTGCTCAAATCATACCAAAAAAAAAAAAAGTGTGCAAATGCTTTGCACATTGGGACCTTAAATAAATACCAGGAAGCACAAAACGCATGATATTTTACATGTTTTTGGTGCTCCTGTTATACTTTCTAGCACACTTTCTAGCACTACCATAGTTGTCTGAGTTTTAAGTAGAAGAAAGAGGAAGCTAATTTAAGTGAAAGGAGAACTGGTAGGAAGATAGGTCCAGATAAACAGAAAACAGTTAAAAAGGAAGAATCTAGGGATATGCACTAATTCATTCCCAGAGCAACAGAAAGCTCAAACAGGAAGCAACCAGGACAATACAATTTCCCTTCTGCAGTAGATCCACCAAGCGTCATGCCCAGCAACTCCAGCTATGCTGCCGTTGCCCAGAGTGAATCAGTCTGTAACATCACAGGTGGTGGCATAGCAACTTCTTTCTGTCCACCAAGGCTTTTTTTGCCCACCTCATCCCACATACTAAAGAACACATCTGAATTTACAGAGAGAGAAATACTTACGAACTTATAGGCATTTGTGTCATTACTGCATTGTATTTCATTTTTATCATACAAGTATTTAATATTATTGTATCACAAGACAGTAGAACGAAAGAGTGGCCATTTGAAACTGGAAGCTGCTCTGTGGAGCTATTCCACAAATGTCTAATGGCAGATACCTGGCTGAGGTCTTCCAATTCTTCCAAGCTGCAGTTTCTTCCCAGGTATCCCTCCAGAATCCTTGTTACCATCTGCACTGCAGGTACCAGGTTACAGGCACTGCTACTTGAACAGAAGTTATGCACCATAGCTGTTATTCCTAGGAAGGTAGTCTGGCTTGCTCCTGGTGATTGTAGCAAAGGCTGTAAACCAACACAAGGACACACTGCTCAAGAAATGTAGCTCTCTTGTTAGTACTCTTAGCACTTTATGGCATTTATGTGTTCACAGAGATTTGTAAGCATTAACTAGCTCAACTTCATAGTTTTCAGAAACAACATAAGATTAGCAGTAAATTGAAACAACCCCCATTTTCTAATATTTTTTTCTTTCAAAGGCTTAATAAAAATATCCCAGGGCAATTCAGAGCACAGCCCCAGAAGGGCGTTGTCCAATAGGAAATTCTTCCAGCCACACATGTACAAATGGCAGAACTAGGAGCAATGGTGCAGCAAGGGAAGTTTAGGTTAGATATTAGGAAGAATTCTCTCACTAGGAAGGTAGTAAAACACTGGATCAGGTTACTCAGAGAGGTGGTGGAAGCTCCATCCTTGGAGGTTTTCAAGACCTGGCTAAACAAAGCTTTGGCTGGGATCATCTAGTTGGGGATGGTCCTGCTTTGAGGAGGGTGTTGGACTAGATGACCTCCTGAGGTCCCTTCCAACCCTAATTTTCTATGATTCTATGAAATGAGAACTGAATTGGCATTAGTATTACCGATTTGCAATCCAAGGAAGGACTTGAGGCTTCCCTCCAAAGTGAAATGTACTCCAAGACAATCCTCTTAGTTAGACACTGCTGTGTTTTCATCACAAATAGGACTGGGATCTCCAAGTTAATATCAAGATACAACATATAGAAACCATTGATTCAGGACTGTTGTACCCTAGCTGTAGCTAGTGTGGACATTAATACAAGTGGCTATTCTAAAGTACTCTCAACAGGGAAGTGTTTTAAATAAAGGCCCCCCATTGTAGTATAATTTTGATCAGATATAACAGTTGTGGTGCACACATTAAATATAAACATTTATTGAGGTGGAAGGGAGCAATGTTATAATAAAAAGTGACACTTTATTACCCGTGAATGGAGCATTAATACCAAGAGTTAATAAATGACTAGTCATAGAATCATAGAAAAATAAGCCTGGGAGATTGTTCAGGAGATTATTTAGTTCAAACTCCTCTCAAGGCAGGGTCATCCCTTTCTAAACTATTATCTAAGTATCGAACCATTTACTCCAATGGGCCAATAAGTTATTTATAATCATGGATATCACCTTCCACTGATATACTTATAGCTATATATAATCCATGCTTCTCATGCATGTGGCATGCTTACAATTGCTATAAAACATTTATGAGTCACTTATATGCCATTTATAAGCAGGCCCTTAAAATATGGGGTTGACCCACATGCTGTATATAAAGCCCAGTCTTGAAAACCATTACTCACATAAAGTTAGTCTTTTACATTCAAATAGGACCTGCAGTCTATGAAGTTTGTGGCTGCTATAGCTACAATAGGCTGAAATGCTGGATTTCTGTTTTATGGGAAATGTCAAGATTTCAAAATTAAAGTTTTATTCCAAATAAAAAAAAAAGATAAATATTTGGAGATTTCCCATTTAACAGAATTTATGGGGGAAAATCATTTTGGAAGATTTTGATATTTAATTTTTGGAATTGGATTTTTCCATTTTCATTATTTTTATATTTTACATTATTTTGGTAGCTGGGATATATAATACAGGCAACCCCTGCTTTGTGCTCTTAATTGGTTCCTGAAAAACTGAGTATTAAGTGAAACCAGGTGTTAAGCAAAACCAACTTTCACAAGCCACCAAAAATCACCAGAATCAGGGCTGTCAGGATTAGCATCAGTTTCAGTGCCAGCTGTATGATGCCCATGAGTATTATAACAAAACAGGCTGAGCGCTAAGTGGAATCAGCTATCAATGCAAAACAAGCGTTATAGTTAAATAGCAATAAGCGAAACAGCACTAAGCCGGGGTTGCCTGTATACAAATATGATTTGTGTTACTCTCAAGTATGTTAATTCTCCTAGAAAACAATGGGAGTTTACAATTCTCTACAGGATAATATTGACTGAATTGATTGATTGAATATATATTGTTGATTTGGCAACAGGTTTCTGTTGCACTTGCTGGCAATCAAAGCAGTTTCTGATTTGTGCTTTAGTAATGAGATATAGCAGTGAGGAGCTTTTCAACCCCTACACAATTTAGCTTTCTTACAGAATTGTAAACCCAAACCAACTATCAGATTAAGAGCAGATGTGGAGGTCCAGGGAGGAAAACAAAAAGACCAGCTGGAGAGAAGAAGAGATGGAAAGGAAAAAAAGCAGCTGGAGGGAGAAAGGATGAGAAGGGACAGGGGAAGCAAGGGAGACTTTGTTGAAAAAATCATAGTCCCAGCACTCTAAAGACAGGAATAAATCCAACAACAGCTCATAACATATCTGCTCAGTGTGTAATGAATGTGTATGAATACAGCACGGCCATTGAGCAGAATCATCATTTATGCATGATAGTCAATCTTTTAATGTAACACACAATTTTAATGAGCCAATTCCATGAGTAAAAGGTGTACTTATGTGTAAGTGTTTGCAGGACCATGACTCATGAGTCATGAGCTATTAACAGATGGTTCTCCAATATGCAATCTTTTCAAAAAACTGAAAACAAAACTTCTCAACTAAAGGCAACTTAGGAGAAAAATACTGAAAGCTAGTTGTGTCCCTGAGAGTCTGTCTGTTTTCATAATGAATGTATCTTTCTATGAGTCCTATAAATCTGTAGTCAAACCCCAGATCACCCCAAATTCCAAAGTAAATATACTTTTGCTAAAAAAACCTTTCATTTCAGCAGGGATTCAGAAAACTCAATGAATATTATATGAATTGTTATGAATGCAGTATGAATTGTTCCTAATAGATGTTGTGGAAAGCCTACAAAACTCTTTGGCAGTTGTCCCCCTACTGCCCTAGTCTATAACATTCGATCAGGAAAAGAAGGATGTGAGAAACAGCTAGCTTGACTCTTCATGTCTAATCAATTGATCATTGGCAGTCAAGCCAAAGATGCACAAAAAATTATTATTGAGACATTTTACTCTGTTACATAATGATTTGTTATAGCTTGCTTCTGTCACTCCCCCTCTAGGGGATTTTTAAACACGTTGAGTTACATGAATATTTATTAAGCGCTGGCCAATAAAACAGGACAGTACTACCAGTTCTTGTTGCAAAAAAGGCAAAACAGTGCAGTGGGCTGTATTAATAGAAGTGTTACAGGCAACCCCCACTTAGCGCTCTTAATTGGTTCCTCAAAAACCGAGCGTTAAGCAAAATGGGCGTTAAACAAAACTGGAAGTATTTGACAACCCAAGATGGTGACCGCAAGTGTTTTTAATGGCCAAAGATGGTGACTGCAAACATTATAATGAAACTCGTTGAGCACTAAATGGAATCAGGTAGCAATTTAAAATGAGTGTTATAACAAAATAGCACTAAGCGAAACAGCGTTAAGCAGGGGTTGCCTGTACTTGCAAGCAAGGGAAGGGATTTTTATGCTCTATTCAGCACTGGTAATGGCTCACCTGAAGTACCATGTCCAATTTTGGACCCTACATTTCAAGGAGGATGTGGACAGACTGGAAAGAATCCAGTGTAGAGTAACAACAATGGTTAGAAGCCTAAGAACTAGAGGTGCACTAATACATCAGTCTGATATCAGATCAGCACCGATATAAAGAAAATTTAATACATAGGAAATTGGCCATAGCCTGATCATTTGGCCAATAAACAGCCCTTGCATGCATGCAGTGCAGTACAGGCAGTGAGGAGCACAGCCCAGCAGTATGGAGAGCTGACACCAGCTGGTAAGTCTGGTGTATGGGGAAGGAAGGGGCATGGGGGGAGGCAGACCAAGGCCCCCATGAGGACGAAGGAACGGGGCTGGAGCTGGGGCAGGGGCACGCGCTGCCCAGCCGGGGTGGAGCGGGACAAAGCCGAGGCTCATCTGGGTGGGTGGGTGCAGGAGGGGGGAAGCTCCAACTACTGTGCACTGCTTGGCCGGGAGTCACTAGTCAGGTGGTTCATCCGGCACAATGGTGGGAGCTGCTTCCCCTGCACCCCCTGGACATGCCTCTTGGCTTTTCTCTCGCACCTTTTCCTCACTTCACTGCAGAAGGCATGGAACAATGGCCATTTTTCTATAGATGAGTTTTGGTCTGTGCCTTGTTCATAATCTGGTCCACTATTTATTCAGAGGTCTTAATGTTACATTTTTTTCTGAAAAGCCAAATCACCTATAAAGCTGATGAAGCAGGATAAACTGAAGAAGAACTGTTTGGTGCATTGCAATCTCATTTTCTCCTTTCTACAGAGACCCTCCACCCTTTGTTATGTCAGAGCCAGGCAGGTTGTTCATTCCAGTCTTCTCAGTAACAGAAATACTGGGAATCTTGCAAACAAGCATCTCTTAACAGGAACCTGAGCTTAATTTTGCAAGCCAAGAAAATCTTCAGAGAATACTGCTTCAGAAGCGCATTCATGCTTGTGTGCCCTTCTAACTGAACCAAACTCTTTGAAGTACTCCCATCAAAAACCCTATTTATAGACGTTTCAGTCATTGGCCCCTGCAGAAAAGTAGCCCAACAGAAGGGCTCTGTGCAAGTACAACATAATAGAGCTTAAGCTCCCCTTAGGGAGTATGAAAATTCTGCATCCTTCCCTCCAAATTTTGGAGTGAAAGGTGTCAAATGCTATGTGAGCTGAAATGTGTTGACCCACATCACAATCCACACAGGAAAGAAGTCCACATCACAGTACACACAGAGCACATATACGCAATTAGCATAAGTTAAAATCATAACATCTTCAATAGCACTAAATCTGACCGAAAGGTGGAATGTGCGTGTACAGTGCTTCTGAAACGATGCCAGAGATTGGCAGGACTGCAGAGTGGGATTGAAACTGAATTGGCAGCCCTCTTTAGTTGAAGGCACAGCTATAGCAGGAGCTCCAACAGTATCAGTTTCCCCACAGTGCTGTACTGATAAACCTGAAACGTGACTCACAGGGACGAGTCTCTCTGGACCAAAGGGTACTTCAGTATTTACCCCTGTATTTTTCTCTCTGCTGCCAGTCTACATCAAGCACCTGTAACTGAGTACTGTTCGTATCCTCTTTTGGAGTCCCAAATGAAATGTGTTGGGAGCATCAGTCCCTTCCCAGTCTCATCACCAAAATCACTTTTACAAATGAAGGTGAGCAGAGTCACTCCTCAGCTCTGAAATTCCCTTCCTCTCGAGGCCAACCAGAGCCCAAATCTTGACATCTTTTGGAAGTACTGTAAAAACCTTCCTAAATCAGCAGACTTTCAGCAAACAAAACTAGGCTGGAGTATTTTTAGGTTACTTTATTTGATATGCTGTTTTGTTCTTTTGTTTGTTTTCCTGTTTTATAAGTTATTCTGTTCACTTATTGTAAGCCCCTTCATTGTAAAGGACAGTTTATAAATCATATAAATAAACAGAGTTTCTTATCAATTTATATCATTCCTGTACTAGAGTTTAATATACAAAGGGTGCACCATCATGAGACACTTAATGCACAGTAGATTAATTCTACTGTGCATTAGTGCATCACAGCAAACGCCATGCTATTGCACTAATGCACAGTAGAATTAGTCTACTGTGCACTAGCATCACTTAGAAGGCGTACGTCACCACTACTGCCAATAGCACCAATTACTGCATATGTAGTTAGCACCTGTTATTACAGGTACTAAACTTAATGCACAGTAACCACAGCACACTAATACATGTGTAGGCATACCCAGAGAATAGGAACCAGCTGGTTTAAATGATAGAAAGAAAAATGGTCTGCTCACAGCAAGAGAGTTGATCATGCCTGCAGTGGGCTTCAGAATGAATGACAGTGACCAAAGGAAAGATTCAATTTTGTCCTCTTCCACTTCTTTTGAGACTATAATTTCTTTCATAAGGAAAACACAGGCCTCTGTAGCACAGGATGGGAGAGCGTCTGCCAGTGGCTGCCTAAAACAGGGGAGAAAAAATGTTAAACCTGATCCAATACAAAGTATCAAAGAGTCAAAGAACACTTATCTTCTGACACCCTAAGGCTGATCTACCTTCAAAGGAAATGAAAGCCCATTAATGAACTGAGGGCCAATAAACTGAAGTCAGTGGTAGGAGTGCCCTTGGTTTTGAGGGCTGCAGAATCATAGATCCTTAGGCCAAGATTGGGACTACTTATTTTGGGCATCTCAGGTTCTGGGCGCCTACCAGGGACTTGAATTTCAAGAAAGGCATCTGAAAATTGGGAAGAATTGTCTCAAATTGAACATCTAGGCTGCATCTGGACAAGCATGGATGTTTGGTTTCCTGGGGACAAGTAGTGGTGGCACACCTTGCTACACCACTACTTGTCCCCAGGGAACACCCATGCCACGTGCACTTTGGCGCATGGCAAGTTACCCTGGGTGGGGTAGAGGAGGCTGGGGCCACCACTGGGCTGGCCCCAGCAGCCTTACCTGGAGTCCTGGGGGCCTCCCAAGGCTGCAGCAGGGGCAATTCTGTCACGTGGAGCCTGGCCAGCAGCCACAGCTTTTTTACCCAAACCTGGGATTTTTATTTTTTTTTCACCAAACCATCTGTGAACTTTGTTTAAGTTGTTTGACCTCTGGAAAGGCTAGACAAGGGGTTTTGACGTTCCTGCTTGGAGTCAGCAATGATGGTAAAAAGCATTCTATTAGAAAGGAAATCATTTGTAGGAATGGGAAAGCCAGCTGGGACCAGTTAAGAGCAGAAACAAAATCTTTAAAAACACCAACATCCAAAAAATTTATTTTTATTTACATTTTTTTAACCTACCTCTGTTCTTTGTGGCTGATGAAAGCTTGAAATATGAAAAACTACATGTGAGACTAATTTCCATGGTACTATTAATATGACTACAAAGAAGAAGTAGTAGAAATTATTCTCCTGTATGGTCTCCACCAGACCATTTTTGCAGTGTCAAGAAATTAGGTTATGTTGGGTTTTTACCTGGAAAGGCCAAACAGATTAGCTTTTTAATATATCACTAAAAATATTTTAATAAATGTCCATGTATCTTTGATTTCACCAAGATAGGATTCTTCTTGTACCTGGTTTAAAGCAAGCTGTGTGGATCACTTCCAAACGATCCTGACTTGTACTGACTCAGGAAGAACAGCAGAAAAAAGTAGATAAAAATGGAATCCAAGTGACATTTTTTCATACAAACTGAGCCAAGATTTATAAAGCAAAACACCTTAAGGACAGTGAAGCAGTAAGTGATGGGTTCCCATGAAGGAAGAGGGGGTGGGGGAAGAGTGTAGAGGAAATGACCTAGAGACAAAGCAATGTAGAATATACTTGTAAAAAACAGGGTATGCTGCTACTTAGGGCCATTATTTAGCCTGCCTTCTAGCCAAAACCAGCTGACCATTCTCATTAAAAACACCTTTGTCTGCCACTTTTTCCCATTAGTTGCCACCCATCCTACTTCTGGAAACTGTGCTGAGCACCTGGGCCCAAGGCCAAGCCCACTAGCGCCTCCCTGCAATATGTTTACAACTCAGCCAGTTGCTGCAGAGACTGGAAATCTACCAGTAGCAACCCGATGACCTCTTGTACCCGGCTCCTACCCCTTCTGCACGCTAGCACAATATGGCCCCATAGCACAAGTCAGTCTAAACACACAGTCTGAAAGCAAATGGTCTTCCTTTGGCTAGACAGTGTCTCAACAGACAAGCTAGACAGGGTTATCCTTACTGTACTACTGAAGAACTGAGGCTCCAACAGACTAAGGGACTTAAAGGGCACAGAAGGAGTCTGTGGCTAGAATCCGATTCTCCAGACTTTCAGTCCAGTGACTTAACTGCAAGATTATTGTTCCCTTCTGAAAATCCATCTCCAAGCACATAACCAGGAACTCAAGGCCATGCTTTGCTGCTGACAGTTGGACAGACTAATTTCAGATATAGAGCAAAATATTCCCTTTTTTGTCCACAAGATGTCAACTCCAGAACATGTGCATTTAGTTTTATATTCTATTATGCAGATTACTACATTTGTAAGAAGCGGGTTTGGGAATTGTTTGAAGATGCTCAGATATATGCTTTGGAAAACTAGACAGAATCCTGCTTAAAAAGGAACATCATATTTGGAGGGATATCATATTTCTGTCATACAAAATCCAATTGTCAGTTCAAACTGCTTGAGTATTTAATGACTGTTAGCATGCAGTAGAGGCAGAACAGATTGATATCCACATATTTACTGTCAAAATAAAGGGGAAAATACTATGAAAAAATAGAGGTGCTCACTGTTAAAAAGACCTTACCAGTTGTCTCTGCACTTAAATGAAGATATTTGCCAAAGGCCCATTAAAGCATTAATGGAGAGACTTCGAAGTTCAAACACCAGAGTCATGAAGAGATCTGTACTCTAAGAATAGAAGAAAAAAAAAAGCAATGTAGGTCACATTATATATATGATTATATAATAATCATAAAATCATAGAAAATAAGGGTTGGAAGGGAGCTCAGGAAGTCATTTAGTCCAACCCTCTGCTCAAAGCAGGACTGTCCTCAACTAGATCATCCCAGCTAAAGCTTTGTCTAGCTGAGTCTTGAAAACCTCCAAGGATGGAGCTTGCACCACCTCTCTGGGTAACTTATTCCAGTGTTTTACTACTCTCCGGGGGAGAAAATTCTTCCTAATATCTAACCTAAACTTCCCTTACTGAAACTTAAGACCATTGCTCCTTGTTCTGTCATTTGTCACCACTGAGAACAGTCCAGTGCCATCCTCTTTTGAGCCCCCCTTCAGGTAGGTGAAGGCTGCTATTAAATCCCCTCCAATTGTACTACTCTCTCCTTCCCCCATTCACCCCTCCCTCCAGCTAGGGTCTGCCCCACACAGGGGGAAGCACCCACCTGAGGGACATTTCACCTCCCCACAGCTCGAGCCAGGCTGGGAATGCTCCAGCCTCACCCCTTCCTCAGCCCTTGCCTCCAAGGGGGAGTGGGAATGCACCTCCCCAGTCCAGCATCAGCCCCTCACACTGGGGTCTGCCAGGCATGGGAGGAAAGCACCCACCTGGGGGCTTTTTATCCCACCGTAGCTCAGAGCTGGGCTGGGACCGCCTTAGCCCTGCTCCTTCCCCAGACAGGAGAAGGCTGAGGAGGGGGCAGGGCTGATGTGATCCCAGCCTAGCTCTGAGCTTCTGGGAGATGAAAAGCCCCCAGGTGGGTGCTTTGCCTTCTGTGCTGGGCAGCCCCCCAGCTGGGGAAGCCAGTGCAGGGGAGAGGGCAGTTTGCATCCCCTGCCTCCCTACCCCCACCTTGCTGAGAGGCAGAGCTGGACCAATCCCAGCCCAACTGGAGTTGTGGTGGGGGCAAAAAGCCCCCTGGTGGGTGCTTCCCCCCCAACACTGGGCAGACCTTGGCTGGAGGTGTGCATTCCCACCTACCTACCCCACACCTCAGAGGTGGATGGCTAAGGAGATAGAGGGTCTGAGCCAATCCCAGCTTGGCTCAGAGCTGCAGGGGGGCAGGTAGAAAGCTCCTGGGTGGGGGCTTCCCCCCTCCTGCCAGCAGAACCTGGCGGGGGGAGTGAGTTCCAGGCGGGTAAGGTATGTTCCCCCTCTAGGAGGTGGAGGCTGGGGAGAGGGCAGGACTGAACTGATTCCTGCCCAGCTTGCTGGGCTGCAAGGAGGGGAGCATAAAGTCCCCACAACAGGGGCTTTTCCTCCCCTGGCTGTACAGCCTGCAGTTAGGGAGGCCTGGGCATCTGTTCCTCTGCCCTCCTGTCCTGTGGGGCTGACAGGCCCAGGCAGAGAGCAGGCTGCGGAGCAGAGGCGTTAGTGCCCCAGCTCTATGACAGCTAGGGGCAGGGCCAGCCTTGCTCCATTGGAGCAGGCAGCACAGCCAAGAGCTGCAAAGCATCCAGGGATGCTGGGGGACTGTAAGTTAACTTGAATGAGGAAGAGACCTGGGACAGAAGTGCCATAAACCTTTTTAATCTAAATCAGTTAAGTCTGATACTACACATCCATCCAGGTTCATCTTAAACCAGTTTTGGCCATTTTGAAAGTGGTTTATGTGCACTGAACTTCTGCTGTGTTACAGGTTTAAACCAGTTTCCAATTACTTAAACCAGTTTATATGTAATTTCTGTCCCTAGCCTATAAGCTGTATCTCCACTAGATGGAGTTGCCTGTATAGCTGTATCAGCAAGTAGACAAGCCTTCTATGATTTAGTTATCATATCCCTGAGAGACAAAGTAAGTAAATCAGCAATATTCTATTTCATGTTATTTTCTATTTAAGATCTTTTAAAATGTTGGCCTAAAGTGAATAGTCTCCTTTTAGACTCATTGCCACATCTGTGCTCATGTAGCTGAAAGAAACTAATGATAATATGAAGCTAAATCACATTTTGCAGTTCTAAGGCATCACCAAAAACGCAGAACTGGCTTTATTATTAATCACTGTAACAGAATCACAGGAAAGCAAATTAAACTTCAAGAACTGTAATTACATATTAGTATCATCTTTCTCTGGGGAAAAAATAATTGTTTTTCAGAGTGAAAGACTGCTCTGTTCAAGGTCCCTTTCGATATATACTGAACTAACAATGATAAAACCCAGTTTCATAAAACCTAATGTTGGAAACTAGATTCACTAATAAAGGAGCTCTTTTCCAGTTTGTCAGCTATTCTTTCCTGGGACACTCAAATATCTTGAATGTAATTATGGACTTCTACATTCCTAGTCCTACACTTTCTTTCCCCAGTCTCCTTCAGGGAATGGGGAATTTTAGGCTTAAGATAACATTTTCAGGGTAAATTTTTTTAACCATCTTCATTTTATTTTCCCACTTTATGATCTATATCTTGGAGCTAACCTGCTGTCAGCTCATTTCAACCAATACTTGGCTTGCTTTCTCAAAAATGTATCCATATGAAAATGTCTCTCTCCAGTTCCTATTAAGCCTAACTTGTAGGGCTGATCAAAATTTTCCAGCAGAAAAATTCACTGGAAAATACCTTTCCTGGAAGGTCACTGGAAAATACCTTTCGTGTACAATTGCCACTTTCCAGAAAAATGTGCTGATTTTGACTGAATTCTGTTTTGGAAGAAAAAATAATTTTACAGGTTATTAAAAAAATTGGTCTTGTTCCAATCTTTGGTGTTTTTGTTTTATTTTAGTAGTTTTGTTCCAGTTTCAAAGGAATTTTAAATGTTTTTAATTTATTCCAATTCAGAGTGAAAACAATTTTTGAACCTGCAGAATTTCCCCCAAAATGGAAATTCGGTCTTTCACATATCTCTAGTCATTTGCCCTCATTTTTTTCAGCTTTCTGCAGAGATTTACTATTGACGCTCACAAGAAATTGGTACCTAAGGCTACCATATGTCCAGGTTTGCCCAGACATGTCCTTTCTTTGGGTCTTCCCATCTCTGTCAGGGCAGTTTTTTTTAAATATCAACAAATATCTAAGACTTTGCTCTGCCTCTGCTCAGCATCAAAATTTTTCCTAGCACTTCCCAGTTTGCCCTAGCAAGGAGCTGCTTGGCACTGGGGGGAGGGCAATTGGTGGCAGGGCACACAGGCTGCTAGGGCTGCAGCAGGGCGCGGAGGCAAGGGAGGTGCCTGCCCCTTCAGCAGGGGAAAGGTTCAGGGGGGCTCCTTCAAGGGCAGCAGGGAGCTGCATGGCTGGGCCAGTGGTACCAGGGTCAGTGCCTGTGCTCACAGTGGCAGGGAAGCTGGGAGATGCTGCAAGGCTGGGGAGAGCAGGGAGCTGTGGGTTGGGAGTGAGGGCTGGGAGGGGCAGGGGCCTGTGGTTTGAAAGTGAGGGGCACCGGGGATGGGGCCGGGGGGGCAGGACTGTGGGTCAAGAGCGTATGGCACAGGCAGTGCCACAGGGGCTGTGGGTCAGGAGTGAGGGGCACCAGCATGATCTGGGGGTTGGGTGGAGTGAGGGGCAGCAGCAGGGCTGCACGAGCTGTGGCTTGTGAGTGAGGGGCAGGGCATGGGCATATCATGGTCTTCCCCACACTCATATTATCCCCCCCAACAGATTTCACCTTTTTTGAAACTGGAAATATGGTAACCCTATTGGTATCAATATATAAGGTGAGACTGTATCTTCCTTTAAAAAAGGCTTATTCCTGAGATAAGGGATTATGCTATATTCTTTTCATTTGGTTTAAAGGAGCTCTGCTCTCATGTGTCTGCACCAATGTCACACATAAATGTTTCAGTGAAGAAATCACCAGTGAATCCTCAGAGGAAATATTAAATATGAAAGTAATAAAGAACTATGAACCAAGAAATCACTTTAAATATACATAGCACTAGAGTTTCTTCATTAAAGAAGTATTGCATGCTTCCAACTTTAATGGAAAGAAGAGTCCTACACAGTGAGAAGAGTCAGCTTTCAATTTTTATGCAGTGTAGTCCTGTCTACTCAAATCTCAAAGATGCATAACTTCCTACTACACACATTACGGGACTTTCATCTGGTGAGAAAGGAATTATGTATAAAATAACACCTCTAATTTCCACAGAACCTATTTATCCTATGATTTTTTTATGCAATATCCTAGTAACATAGTTGATAAAAATGAAAAAAAAAGGCTACATGGTATATGAACATGTCTCTGTGGACTGATTCAAAGTTCATAAGGGGAAAGACCACAGCATTTGGAAGATTGACAGAATGCTATATTACACCCAGAGGCTTGCAGTTTGGTTTTAATATATTATTTAATCTAGCCAAACTTTAAATTCAAACTGCACTTTAACTGGATTCACTTACATTATTCATTCATTTCAGATGTGAAAGGATATAAAGCAAGAATGTCATTCTTACTCAAAAGAACCAATTATAGTTCGCATGAAAAACAAACAAATACGTTTTACGTCTGTCAAGTCACAGTTCCAAAAGGATCCACAGGACAGGGGAAACCTAATTTGGCTCCTGACCTCTAGCTATCCTGAAATTTCCTCTAATTCTGAGCACATATGGTGCATTTCTACACAGGAATCCTTCCTCAATAAATAACCAAACATTTATAAGCTGGCTACTATTGATGTGGAAAATAAAACTCCAGCGCTGTTTCCAAAAGCAATGAGAACTTGGTATCATCTGGTGCCAGCAATAGATTTTCATTAAAACCTGACAGAAGGTTTTCATTAAAAAGAACTGCACCTTGGAAGTAGATAGAATAAATTTCTTACCTTAGCGGGGCGGGGGGGCCTCATTTCATGGATCCAAAATAATTTATTTCACTTTTTATGCATTTGTTCCTCTTGGCCTTTGCTCAGCACTGGCATATCGATCTTACCAAAATAAACTCACAAAAATACTATTCCAAAATCAGTTTCAGAAATATCTTTAAAAATGAAATTGCCCAGCTCTGAACACTATGGACCAT